ACCCTTCATTTTAAAATAAGTGGTGTTTTTAGCCACACCTCTTAAGGAAATTAAGTATTTCTAAAAAGTGAGATGCATTTTTCTAATTTACTTTTAATAAATACATGCAACTCTTTTTTATTATTTAAATAACGATAAAATTGAAAGAATATTATTAACATGTTCTTGATTATGTAAAACAAAATTTATTTTATAACAAACAAAAAATAAGAAGTTAAAACATCACTTATTTTAAAATGGAGAAAAAAATAGTAATTAATAATGTGACACTAATTAGTATTCTTACGATTATTCCAAATTAGTTATTATCAATGTACAAAATAAATGCATGTAGCTCTTTTTAAAACAAAAGTTCAAAAAACAATAAAATTGGAAGAACATTATTAACGTGTTCGTGATTATGTAAAATAATTTTATTTTAAAAACAGAAAGAAGTAAAACACCACTTATTTTGAAATGATGGAAACAGTAGTAATTATGATTATTCCAAATTAGTTGTCAATTTACAAAATAAATATATGTGGCTCTTTTTATTATTTAAATAATGACTATTTTACAACATTGTATACTATATATACGATACACACGTGCAACGCACGTGCCGTGAAACTAGTAATAATAATAAAAAAAAACATAGCACAACAACCCTTCATTTTAAAATAAGTTGTGTTTTTAGCTTGTGAACACCTCTTAAGGAATTAAGTATTCCTAAAAAGGGAGATGCATTTTTTTTTAATTTACTTTTAATAAATATATGTAGCTCTTTTTTATTATTTAAATAACTATAAAATTGTAAGAACATTATTAACGTGTTCTTGATTATGTAAAACAAAATTTATTTTATAACAAACAAAAAATAAGAAGTTAAAACATCACTTATTTTGAAATGGAAAAAAAAAGTAATTAATAACGTGACTAATTAGTACTCCTACGATTATTCCAAATTAGTTGTCAATGTACAAAATAAATACATGTAGCTTCTTCTTTAAAAATAAAATAACGATAAAATTGGAAGAACATTATTAACGTGTTCTTGATTATGTAAAACAAATTTTATTTTAAAACAAAAAAAAGAAGAAGTAAAACACCATTTATTTTGAAATGAAGGAAATAGTAGTAATTAATAACGTGACACTAATTAGTACTCCTATGATTATTTCAAATTAGTTGTCAATTTACAAAATAAATATATGTAACTCTTTTTTTAAAAAAAAATAATGATAAAATTGGAAAAACATTATTAACGTGTTCTTTATTAGGTAAAACAAAATTTATTTTATAATAATAAAAAATAAGAATTTAAAACACCATTTATTTTGAAATGGAGAAAATATAGTAATTAATAAAGTGACACTAATTAGTACTCCTACGATTATTCTAAATTAGTTGTCAATGTACAAAATAAATACATGTAGCTCTTTTTTTAAAATTTAAATAACGATAAAATTGGAAGAACATTATTAACGTGTTCTTGATTATGTAAAACAAATTTTTTTTAAAACAAAAAAAGAAGAAGTTAAACACCACTTATTTTGAAATGAAGGAAATAGTAGTAATTAATAAGTGACACTAAATAGTACTCCTTTGATTAAATACATGTAGCTCTTTTATTTATTTATTTATTTAAATACGCTAAAATTGGAAGAACATTATTATCGTATTCTTGATTAGGTAAAATAAAATTTATTTTATAAAAAAAAAAAAAAAAAAAGAAGTTAAAGCATCACTTATTTTGAAATGGAGAAAAGATAGTAATTAATAAAGTGACACTAATTAGTACTCCTACGATTATTCTAAATTAGTTGTCAATGTACAAAATAAATACATGTAGCTCTTTTAAAAAAAAAAAAAATAACGATAAAATTGGAAGAACATTATTAACGTGTTCTTGATTATGTAAAACAATTATTTTTTTTAAAACAAAAAAAGAAGAAGTAAAACACCACTTATTTTGAAATGAAGGAAATAGTAGTAATTAATAACGTGACACTAAATAGTACTCCTATGATTATTCCAAATTATTTGTCAATTTACAAAATAAATACATGTAGCTCTTTTTTATTTATTTAAATAACAATAAAATTGCAAGAACATTATTATCGTGTTCTTGATTATATAAAGCAAAATTTATTTTAAGCAAACAAAGAAATAAAACACCACTTATTTTGAAATGAAGCAAATATTAGTAACTCAATGATATCTTGTCATTTTTTTATCTCAAAATAAAAGTAATTCAATGACAATATTTTTAAAAGCACTTGTCCTATGTTTTTAAAATTATAATTATTTACTAAAAATTTTAATCTAGTAATTTTAATTCTATTTTACAACATCGTATACTATATTTAGGATACACACGTGCAATGCACGTGCCGTGAAACTAATAATAAAAAAATCATAGCACAATAGCCATTTATTTTGAAAGAAGTGGCGTTTTTTGCTTGTGCACAACTCTTAAAGAAATTAAGTATTCCTAAAAAGTGAGATGCATTTTTTCTAATTTACTTTTAATAAATACATGTAGCTCTTTTTTATTATTTAAATAGCGATAAAATTGGAAGAACATTATTAACGTGTTCTTGATTATGTAAAACAAATTTTATTTTAAAACAAAAAAAAGAAGAAGTAAAACACCACTTATTTTGAAATGAAGGAAATAGTAGTAATTAATAACGTGACACTAAATAGTACTCCTATGATTATTCCAAATTAGTTGTCAATTAACAAAATAAATACATGTAGCTCTTTTTTTTATTTATTTAAATAACAATAAAATTGCAAGAACATTATTATCGTGTTCTTGATTATATAAAACAAAATTTATTTTAAGCGAACAAAGAAATAAAACACCACTTATTTTGAAATGAAGCAAATATTAGTAATTCAATGATATCTTGTCATTTTTTATCTCAAAATAAAAGTAATTCAATGACAATATTTTTAAAAGCACTTGTCCTATGTTTTTTAAATTATAATTATTTACTAAAAATTTTAATTTATTAATTTTAATTCTATTTTACAACATCGTATACTATATTTACGATACACACATGCAATGCACGTGCCGTGAAACTAATAATAAAAAAACCATAGCACAATAGCCATTTATTTTAAAAGAAGTGGCGTTTTTTGCTTGTGCACAACTCTTAAAGAAATTAAGTATTCCTAAAAAGTGAGATGCATTTTTTCTAATTTTCTTTTAATAAATACATGTAGCTCTTTTTTATTAGTTAAATAACGATAAAATTGGAAGAACATTATTAACGTGTTCTTGATTATGTAAAATAAAATTTATTTTACAACAAACAAAAAATAAGAAGTTAAAACATCACTTATTTTGAAATGGTGAAAAATAGTAATTAATAACGTCACACTAATAGTACTCCTACGATTATTTCAAATTAGTTGTCAATGTACAAACTTAATACATGTAGCTCTTTTCTTAAAAAAATTAAATAACGATAAATTAGAAGAACATTATTAACGTGTTTTTGATTATGTAAAACAAATTTTATTTAAAACAAAAAAAGAAGAAGTAAAACACCACTTATTTTGAAATGAAGAAAATAGTAGTAATTAATTACGCGACACTAATTAGCACTCCTATGATTATTCCAAATTAGTTGTCAATATACAAAATAAATACATGTAGCTCTTTTTTTTATTATTATTTAAATAACAATAAAATTGGAAGAACATTATTAATGTGTTCTTGATTATATATATAAAAAATATTTTAAGCAAAAGAGAAAGAAATAAAACACCACTTATTTTGAAATGAAGAAAATATTAGTAATTATTAACGTGACACTAATTGGCACTCTTACGATTATTCCAAATTAGTTGTCAATTTATAAAATCGAGGTAAAATTATTTTAAATTTTCCCATCTTGGCCTTCAATTTTCTTTTATTTTCAAAATGCAAAGGTTCCAAAAATGTTCTTTCATTATTAATTTTGATGTTGATAAATAAAGGACATAAATATAAAATTTATTTAAAAATATAAAAAAATAAATCAATGAAAATACAAATATTATTCATGTTTCTTAAGGGCCATTAAAGAAAAAATAAACGAAAACAAATAATATGAAGCTAAGGGAGTATTTTAGAAAGAAAAAAACAAATTATACATTGACATTTTCATTAGAAACAATATTAATTTAATACTCTAAATTAAAGTGATCATAATTAAAGTGAATAAATTTAACTACTACAAATAAATAAATAAATAAAAATTAATCTTTCTATTTCATATTAACTCAACTCTTCGAATTAATTAAATTATTTAAAGTTTAAGATTGATGTTTGAATTTTTTTCATATTTATTCCTTTCTTTAACGAAGTTTGATATTTTCTATGAGATAAAATTGCATTACTTACAAAGTTATTTTTATGATTTTACAAAAACAATAGTGTGAAATATAGTTCAAATTATGTCTTTAAATATTTTCCTTAATAAGTATCTATTGCCTCACAAATTCACCACTATCATCCCGTACTAAATATTAAGGGTAATGCTAAATGGTCAGAAAATTTGACTAGAAATTTTAAAAAAATTATAATACTTTTTTATTTTAAAATAAATTGATTTTTTTCTATTTTTTAGTTAAACTGTATTAAAGTTAAAAAGATAAAAATATTTAAAAAGGTAAAATAAGATAAATAAAATATTATTCTGATCAAAAGAATTTTTTGAAATATTAATTTAGAAAAATGATAATGGGGGCATTTGGGTAATATCATTGAGACTCCCAAGACATTTGTTGCAAAATTTAGTTGAGAAGATTGTCTAGCAATAGTAGTCTCATTTGTTCCTTTTTAACATTCTTCAATTTATTTTCTCTATATCTCCTTCTCTAATGTATCCACTAGACTCTAGAGACTCTCCAGTGTATAGACTCTGCTGCTTCACACCATAGACTCTAGAGAGAGAAACATAACCAAAAATCAAAAACTTATTATCTTCTTCTAAATTCATAACCAAAAACCCAAAAAAAAAATGGAGAACAATGGTATGATTCATGGAAATCTTGATCCTAGAGCCCAAGAATTTATACCAACATATCCATTTAACAATAATTTTTTGCCTGTATTTCCTAATCAATTTTACTACCCTTTTCCATCTCCACCACCACCACCGTACGGTGATGTTGCATCAGTGCCGTTACTCCAGCCGGCGTATGTTAGCGCTAACCCACCGGTGCCTACGCCTATTTTACCACCACCAAGTTCAATGTCTACAAGAACTTTATTGTTATGTATGGTTCCGGTTGATGTGAGTGAATCTATTATCCGAAGGGATTTAGAAGTATTTGGGGATGTAAGAGCTGTGCAAATGGGAAGGGTAAGAGAAGGGATTGTAACGGTTCATTTCTATGATTTAAGGCATGCGCAGACGGCGTTAATGGAGATTCAACAGCAGCACATGCAGCAACAGATGCGTTTAAGGAGGCATTATTATGAGTTTATTGAAAATCAAAATTCTCTTCCTCCAGTTCCACCACCGGCGGCGCGTGGACTCATTGCTGGTAGAGCTGTTTGGGCTCAGTTCACTTTTCCGGTCACTTCTGCTCTTGTTGATGGGAATAATCAAGGCACACTTGTTATTTTCAATTTGGCATCTCAAACTTCTACTGATTCTCTTATTCATATATTTCAAGCTTTTGGTATGTTTTTTTTTTTATTTCTTTTGGTTGATTTTGCTGATTTCTTCGATATTTATGTACTTTTTTTTGTTGTTGATGAATTTGATATAGGACATGTGAAGGAATTGAGAGAGACACCAATGAAGAAGCATCAAAGATTTGTGGAGTTTTATGATGTTAGAGATGCATCAAGGGCGTTGATAGAGATGAATGGGTATGATTTAAATGGGCAGCAATTGCTGATTGAATTCAGCAGGCCAGGTGGAAATAACAGCAGACGCTTCTCAAAAGGTTTTCAATATTCTTCACCTACCAAATTCAACAATAACTTATACTCTTCACCAAGAATAGCGCCCGTATACAACACTTCACATTCCCAAAATCAGAAATCAAATTATGTTAAAGGAAACCCTAGTGGATGTAGCGGAAGTGAGAGTTCAGGCACCGGTGGTTCAGTTCAAGAATCATTAGCTTCTTTGTGTATATCAAATAGGAGTAATAATAATGTTAGGGCTGGGAAGAATAAGAATGCCAAAAAAAGTAACACTAACATTAGTGCAAGTAGTAGCAGTGTGACAAGTTGTTCTCCGAAACGTCCACAAAAAATGTTGCAACAAGCAAATAGCAGCAGTAGCAGTAGGCCATGGAAGATGAGCTGGTCATCAAAGCAGGCAAAAGATTATGACCCTCGTTTTCTAATTAAAGAAGATGCCATTATGGAATCAAATTGCAGAGATTCCAGAACTACTGTCATGATCAAAAACATACCAAACAAGTACAGGTTAAATTCAATCTTTTCTTGCTTTTATTCCTCTAAACATATTATTCTGATTCCATTCTGAAAATTTATCATGTTCCTTTGGTTCATAACATTGGTATTTTGATAGTATGGAATGATTTCTGTTCAATCAAACATTTCACAAGCTAAAACAAGGATAAAGAAATAGTACTCTATTAATATTGGTTTTTGGTATATTTGACTGACATATATTTGGGGTCTGATGTGCAGTCAGAAGCTGCTGCTGAACATGCTGGACAACCACTGCATTCACTGTAACGAGCGGATTGCCGACGGCGATGATCAGCCAAAATCCTCTTATGATTTCATTTATCTTCCCATCGATTTCATGTAATTATAATCTTCAAAAATATTCAATTTTTATTTATTTGTTTTACCAAGTATTTTTCTAATTGATGATTTATGGATTTTGTTAGTAACAAGTGCAACGTGGGATATGGATTTGTGAACATGACTTCACCGCAAGCAACGTTGAGACTGTACAAGGCTTTTCATCTTCAAAATTGGGAAGTTTTCAACTCCAGAAAAATATGCCAAGTTACTTATGCTAGATTACAGGTATGTTCCTTCTTCTCAAATACTAATTTCTTGTGCACTAATTAGCCATAGATTAGCTATGAATAATTAGTTTTTTCATTTTCAAGATAGCATTTCGTTATACGACTGGCCTGATTTTTTGAAATTTTCTTGGAAGATGAGTGTTAGGTTTGAAAAATTGGTAGTGAACTTTTTTTACTCACAATTTCAATTTTCAATCATCTCTCCAAATAATCAATTTAGTCTCAATAAAATTCAGCAACATTCTTACTTTTTTTTCCGTGTGAATAATGGTTTCTCCGTTCTTTTTTACTTATTCAATATTAACTTAATATTCTCTTTCAAAACGAATGTCAATTTTTACCTTATCATCCTTTAAATTTAACTGAAAAATGGACTATAGCCAAGAATTAAGGATAAATTAGGATTATGCAATTAAATTGTTTTTTTTAACTTGACAGTAAACAATTAACATTTATTTTTATTATTATATATAGTGGGGGGGATAAATAAAAATGCACACCGAAAATACTTGCATGAGTTATAAAACATTAATTAATTTATATTATAGAAATGAATTAGAAAGATTAAAAATTAACAATTTCTTTTAATTATTAAGGGAATTGAAGCATTGAAAGAGCATTTCAAAAACTCAAAATTCCCATGTGAAGCTGAAGAATACATGCCAGTGATTTTCGCACCACCTCGTGATGGGAAATTATTAACAGAGCCTAATCCTATTGTTGGACGTGGCATAATAATTAACTCTTCATCTTCCGCCGTCGCTTCCGAAGAAGAAGAAGAAGAAGATAACGGTTATAATATCATCATTAATACAAGTAGTAATGATGATGATGATGAAGAAACGGCAGCAGTAAGAAACGACGGCAGCAGTAGTAGTAGTAATGGTGGTGAAAATTACGATGTGGGTAATCATGATTCTGTCTACATGTTGGCGTCTTCTGGTAATTAAAAGATCAAAACCCTTGTGGTGGAAGAAAAGATTTGGAGCAGTGATGGTTGTGTGTTGTTTAATGTGAAAGAGGATAAATGGAGCCTTCCCTTCCCTTCCCCATGGGCTGAATTCTGATTGAGATGATGAATGAATGAAAAGAGAGAAGAAAACAGCCAGCTTGCTACCACCCAATGGGTTTGCGTGTAAATCTCTTTTCAACTCACTCTATCTCGGGGGAAGAGCCCGCCCTTACCTTCCTTTCACTCATACTCAAATACCTGTGTATTTCTAGCTTAGCTTTTTCTACTTATTTCCTTTTTATCGCTAGCTATAAAAACTAGTTCAAATTTCAATCTTTTTCTTATGCTTTGTTAAAGTTAATTAAATACTTTTATTTTCAATTTCGTACCTTTTATATTTGTATTAGAAAATTAAATAAATATATATATGTGTATTAACTTGTGAACCCAAATAAAATTGATTGTAAGGAACGGGGTGTTACAAATGCTTTCTCCGCCGCTGAAATTCTTCTCACTCTAGTATTTAGTTTCTAAACATCAATAATAATGTTTGTAAGTAGTAAAAATATAGTTTTAATCAAAGTTTTTCTAAAGATAAGTGTCGAGTCATGAACAAAGGACTGTTAATTGAGATAATGTAATTTTAATCTGTTTGAAAATATTATTACTACTAAAAATGTAACCATTAGACTAAAAATTCATTTTAGTGGCAAGTAGGTTATTATCGCTAAATAGTATATACATTTTAGTGGTAATTAACATTTTTTGTTAATATCCCTTCAGCCTATATAAAATTTAGAGAGTAGTTTTCTAAATTAGTTGTTTTTAACTATAATTATGATATTTATTAATATGATATAATCTTGACCTTTTAACATTTATTAAGATACACATATCTCTTATCTAGAGTTGCAATTGACGAAATAAAGAAAAAGATCAATGGAAGAGAGCCAAATCCCAACAAATAAAACTAGACTATAAGAAATCTAGACTAGTAATTCTCTCACTATTGATGGATGGTTTTCCCCCCCCGCCCCCTCCTTTTAGGCCCCCCCCCCCCCCCCCCCCCCCCCTTCTCTTTGTTACATTCGTTATCCTCTTTATCAACTTATCTTTGTAAAATGGAAGGAACAAATCCTTTTTCATTAAAGAATCTCTTCTTTATGGGTTTTCTTTCCCGAGGATATTGAGCATGGTTTGATTTTCTTTGCCAATACTCAATTCATTTCTATTAGGTTTTCATTATTTTAGATTCTCCTTACAAAACTAGATAAATTTATCATTGTACTCTTATGTAGTATTATCTTAAAGTCAAGTTTTCAATAAATAAATATGAATTTATTTATTTTAATTAATTAAATTGAGCAATGAACATAAATTAATTATTTAGTTTTTTATGTTGGTCAAAATTCACACTTTCAAGGCTAATACTCCCTCGCTCTTCTTTTAGTTGACATGTTGCATTTTTCGAAAGTCAATTTGACTAATTTTTAAAGTTAAATTCGATTAAACTAATTCGATATTTTAAACTTAAAATTTAGATATTCAAAAACTATACGAAAAGTTATATAAATTGCATATCAATATGATGAAAAAAAATACTTTATAGAATGTTAATCAAAGTTCTTATCATTTGACTCTAAAAAAGGAAACTATGCAACTAAAAGGAGACGGAGGGAGTAACTCTCAAAAGAAAAATAAGAAAATAATGTGATTTATAATACTGCATTTGTGAAATAACAAGTATTAGAGAACATGTATTTTTAATAAAAATAACATATAAATAGGAACAAATCAAGTATAATCAATTATTTGGGTTTGTATGTTACTCCCTCCGTTCCATTTTATGTCACTTTTTTATTTTGCAATTTTCAGAAATGATGTAACTTTACCCTTTTATCCGTATTTAATATTTTCTTAAGTCAACTTTATTAATAAATGACAAGATTAATTAACTATTCTATCAAGGGTATAATAGGTAAAATATGGTAATTTATGCATAACTTTTATAAAATGACAAGTATTATGGTCCAATTATTTATAAAAAGGGATGACATATAAAATGAGACGAAGGAAGTACTAATAATATTTATTACTACTTCAGAGGAACTCTATGTATCTGCCAATTGATATTAGTTGAAATTGAAGAGAGAGTTAAGAGCCAGTGATCATTGTTCACTGCTCCATTCATTTCCTTTTATATTCCATGTCAAATAATCTAATAAGTTATCACTTATGTAAAAAAGTTTTAAAATATGATCTTTTAACTCTGAGGATATTTAAACAAATATCACATATACTTTCTTCATTTTATATTATTTGTTCACGCCTTGTCTTTAAAACTATATATTTTGAAAGCACAAATATTGTAAACATAATATTGATGGACAAGAGATCAATAGAATGTATTAAAAAGAGTTAATTTATTAAGTTAGTAAACAAATATTTTTTTTATCTGTAATTTTTTATAAATTATGTAAAGAGAAAAATGGATAACTATAGTGAACAATTAAATACAATAACACTTAACAGTGAGTCCAAAACTTCATTTTGTTAAACGACTATTAAATGGTTCTTTTATTGTTGGTCATCATGGATTTAGTCCATCAACTATTTTACTTTCTAACAAGTGCATCTCTTAAGCCCATCAAATATTTTCGTCTTACTTCCCAAATACATACAAAAATCAATTTTAAATCAAGTACTCCATAACTCACTTTTGAGTACATGAGTGGTTATAATCCTACATTTCATGTTGAATTGTTTCAAGCTTTCAATAACCCTAAAGTTGTATGATTTTATGTACTTTTTATGTCTATATATTCTTTCATGTTGTATTGAATTACGATTAAAGAAAATACGAGTTATTCTTAAGAAAATATACTTTGTGTTTTATAATAGTATCAGAGCAATCAACAGACTCATCGTCCAAGTTTCCAAACACTAAGCTAAATTCCTACGTCCATAGACATACAACTCATGACTTACTTGTAGCTAGGAGTCCTAATCGTATTTAATTTGTTAATATATTCTCTCATGTTGTATCGAATAACAATATAATTAGAAAGAACAATTTATTCTTGACCAAATATTCTTCTTGTTCTATTAGACCCAAAAAAATTATATTATTGTCAGCACAACACAAGATATCAATGATATATTGGTTAGTACAATTTTTTTCTCCTATGCCAAGGAAAAACTTGCTTTCTAGTTTTTCTTTCTCCTGTCTTAGCTTGTTCTTGGAAAAAAAATAATTACAAGAAAAAGAAGAAGAGTATCATGGATTGATGTTAGGGATGATGCATGGTTGTAAGGAAATCTTGTGTGACATCAAGTCAACAGAGAAGGGGGATTGTGGGGGTGGGGGATAATTGTAATTTCTTTCTACATTTTAATTGTTTGTGTTATACTCCTTTTGCTCTTAATTTAGCTTATCGAGAATAATGAATTCAATAAATTATGGAAGCTATATGAAATTATATCAAATTTAATATTTAAAACTAAAATTCAGATATTCAAAATCTATACTATAACGAGCTGTTTGATATGAAGTATTACACGTAATAGCTTTGATAATATTTAATCTCTTTGGTAGTGTTTTAATTTCACTCAATATATGTAACTAATACCTTATTCAATATTCTTACTCTTCTATATAGTGAACTATGACATTGACTATATCAACACTATTTCTATACGGACTATATATTATATTTCTATTATGTTACACCCTATTTTTTCCATACAAACAGTTGATAAAGAATAACGGTAACCTAAATAATTCAAGAATAACTAATCCAACATTACAATAACAACAATAACATACTCGGTGAAATTTTACTATGTGGGGTTTGGGGAGGATAGAGTGTATGTAGACTTTACCACTACCTCGGGAGGTAGAAAGACTGTTTCAAAAGATCCTTGGTTCAAGTTCATTAATCCAACATTACTAATACATATACTATTTTGTATTATTCTTATACATTTTACCAAACGAGCATTAAAAGTACTATATAAGATGTAATTTCTTATATTAATATGATAAAAAGAATATTTTAAGTTATTGATCAAAATTCGCATATATAGTTTAAATAATTTTAAAAAAAAGTCACATAGAATATAATACTTGGGTTTTAAATTTTGATGTGATGTTTATTTATTCAAGTTTTTTTTTTTACCAATATTTTAGTTTCTATTACTCTTTTCACTACACAAGCATTTATAATAATAATGTGCGAGTGAGAATGACTATATATGGAAAGAGTCAAGAAAGTGTAGAAATAACAAATGTTTATTAATAGGTAGGTCAAAGGGCAGTGGGAAGAAGAAAATAACAAAATGAAAGAAAGATGCATGAAATGGGATGACAATTGGCAAACGCAACTAATCAAGATTGTGATGGAAGGATAAGTACTTTATTTTTAATCAAGAGATTTTGGATTCGAATCCTTCCTTGATACGGAGTTACCGTTGTTAGGACCCTTAATGTGGAATTTTTTTTGTGAATTTAAATTTAATCGAACTTTTAATATGAGTATCGAACATTGGACCGTGAAACAAAAAAATTGGCAAAGGCAGGACATATGAGGGTAGGGTATCTGAAAGGATACAGAATGTAATGGTCTTTCCAGGTAAATATGCAGACTATATACTGTAAAAGCTATATATATATATATATTGGCAGTGAGTTTTAACACTTTATTTGTTTGTTTGTTTCTTTGTTTTATTAGCCATCCACTGGCTGTCCTTTTAGGGTCAACCCCAGATTTTAACATGTAAATCACTGCATTATTTATTGTTCTAGCTAGCTCGGTATTCCATACACTATCCTTCAATATATAATCCACTTGCTTTTATATTTACACAGATATTAGTTTCAGTCCATTCATTTTTACTAATTCACTATTTTAAAAATAAATTTTTATTTTTACTTGTCACATTAAACATATTAAGAATTTTGTTTACTAAACATCAATTAATATCAATCAATAGTCAACA